ACAGCAGCACCTACAACTGTTGCAACAACAACAGCAGCACCTACAACTACTGCTGCGCAGACAACGGTTGCAACCTACAACTACTGCTGCACCTACGACAGCAGCACCTACTACTGTTGCAACAACAAACAACTGCACCTACAACTACTGCTGCTCCATCAACGGTTGCAACCTACAACTACTGCTTCACCTACAACTGCAGGCCCGACTACTGAAGCAACGATAACAGCTGCACTTACAACTACTGCTGCTCCATCAACGGTGCAACCTACAACTACTGCTTCACCTACAACTGCAGGCCCTACTACTGAAGCAACAACAACAGCAACACCTACAACTACTGCTGCGCCTACAACTGCAGCCCCTACTACTGTTGCAACAACAATAGCAGCACCTACAAGTACTGCTGCTCCGACAACAGTGCAACCAACAATTCCAGCTTCTATACCAGTTGTGGTTGTCGCGGCAACCGTGGAAGAACCATTTGTAGCAGAACTTAGAGACAAAGACAGTGCAGAGTTTAAAGTTCTTGAAAGCAGAATTGTACTAGTGGTTAGTTCTCATTCTTATTGAGTTTGCTGTATTTATTTCATTTGGAAACTATTCTCATTTTAACTGCTTTATTTTGTTGCTTTTGTTCCCACAGTATGATATCATCTACAAGACAAAATATGGATTTCTTTTCATACGCTCGTTTGTCATTTCATTTAGGTAACGTTTCACATTTTGAGAGACCAACTCACCTTATACTTTCTGGGTTTTTATATTCAAACTTTCAAACATAAGAATGACAAAAGCACTCATTACAGATATGTAAAAGTTATCAATGTTGATATAATTTGGTTTAAAATATGTTATTTTTTGATGCAGTCAAGCTGTGGCGAGAACTCGAGCTGATACTGGTACTCAAGTCGAGATGGGGCTTGAGTTCAATCAAACTGCTTCACCTGCAGAAATCCCACAGGATGATGATGTTGCAAAAAACCTTAGAAGAGGCTATCTCCAACCCAAACAATACCTTCAACATCTCTGTTGATGTCACCTCCATCCGAGTAATTCGTAAGTAATCAATATCCTTCATTTAGCAAGGACATTTTGTTATCTAAGATTTGTCTAACATTGTCTGTTCAATACTTAGTATCAATATATCTAACTGTAAATAACAATAGCCAAGTTTCCTTTTTGTGCTCCAAATAAGGGGTTTACATTTAGTTTAGTTTAGTTTAGTTTAGTTTTTTTTTTTTTTTTCGAGCGTGTAAAACCAAAGAAAATACAAATGAAACAAAAGGTGATACAGACATGATACAGTACTATACAAATGAATGCAATAACAAAACGAAACATTTAAATAATAATTGAATAATCTGCAGTATCATTGTCTGATATCAATAAACAATAAACAACAAAGCTTTAGCTAATTACACGTCCGAAAAGGGGTCAGAAGAAGTTTACACTTATTTAATCCGACCCCTTCTCCCTTTTTTATTTTTATTTTTATTTTTATTTTTTTACATCTTAATATATGTTAACATACAATATAAACGTATACTTATAATCTTGAATAATTTATATAATCATTCATATAATATATACAGGCAAGTTAGGACAATGGTCTCTATATATTTATATATATATATATATATATATGTACATACACAAATTCATACAAACACAAATTCATAAATAAAATACAAAACAAGAATACAAACAGTTATGGTTTAGCAGTTTCATCCCTGTACCTTGTGAGAATTGTGTCTTTATACCTCTTTTTGAATAGTTTTGTGTTTGGACATCCCTTTAGCTCTTCACTCAAATTGTCTCAGATCTTCACCCCACAAACAGAAACACAAAAACTTCTCTTTGTTGTGCGCACCCTAACATTAGTGAAATTTAGCAAATGTGTACAATACAAAGCCAATATCTTTATTTGTTTTATTTTTAAACCATACAGCATGAACCGAAAACAACACACCACAGCATTAGGCCACGGCAACATGCAATGCCAGTCTCTAGAGGGACCTGGAATTAAACCAGACAACCATGACATGAAAAAAACTGTACAAAACACAATTTAGGTACATTTAAACACAAAACTCAGAGCTCAACAAGAAACAAACAAAGACAAAAGAAAAGAAACAAATACAATAAAACAAAAAGCACTAACTCATGACCAAATCCTCTTAAAAACATTTCTGTTTCAGTTTTATATGAAGCCAGTCAGCATCCAGTTTGACTTCTGTAGATTGAAAATTACGCATGTTGAATCCGAGAACAGAAATTGCTTTGTGTTTGAATAAGAATGTACATAACTTCCATTGAATATTGAAGTAATTATGGAATAATTTCAAAGATTCTTATTTGACAAATGTTTTGGTCGAAATGGAGCATACACAATCATATACCATCGACTGTTACAAACATAAGAAACACAATTTAAAGTTATTTTTCTTTCTTGTCTGAAAATGCAGTTATCACTGTTGGCACTGTCAGCAATGTTTCTGCTGTTAGCACCTATAGTTACTAGCTGCTGGCCCAGCCATCGCAAAGTGAGAATAGTTTGAAGGCAATCCATCAGTCAGACATAAGCTTTGAATTTTGTGTTGAGAACCTTTACACTGTGGATTGACTTTGTTTAGAAGAAAGCATTTTGAATACCATCTTTTATTTTAACCATATTTCTTCACATTGGTCCATATTTGTTTGGACTATAGCCCCGACAGCTATCCCAACTTCTGCAAATAAAGCTACAAGTACTGCAAGTACAAGGGCTGCTACAACTACCAGTGCTGCAACTTCAACTACAAGTACTGCAACTACAAGGGCTGCAACAACAACTACAAGGGCTGCTACAACTACAACTACCACTGCTGCACCTACAACTGCAGCCCCTGCTACTGTTGCAACAACAACAGCAGCACCTAAAACTGCTGAACTGACAACTGTTGCGCCTACAACAGCAGCACCTACAACTGCTGCTGTAACAACTGCTTCACCTACGACTGCTGCCCCAACCACTGCTGCTGCTACAACTGCTGCACTGACAACTGCAACAACAGCATCAACTGCAACAACAGCAACAACAGCATCACCAACAATTCCAGCTTCTAAACCAGTTGTGGTTGTCGTGGCAACCGTGGAAGAACCATTTGTACCAGAACTTAGAGACAAAAACAGTGCAGAGTTTAAAGTTCTTGAAAGCAGAGTTGTAATAGTGGTTAGTTCTCATTCTTATTATTTTTCTGAGTATTGAGTTTGCTGTTTTTATTTCATTTGGAAACTATTCTTATTTTAACTGCTTTATTTTGTTGCTTTTGTTCCCACAGTATGATTTAATCTACAAGGCAAAATATGGATTTCTTTTCATACGCTCGTTTGTCATTTCATTTAGGTAACGTTTCACATTTTGAGAGACCAACTCACCTTATACTTTCTGGGTTTTTATATTCAAACTTTCAAACATAAGAATGACAAAAGCACTCATCAGAGATATGTAAAAGTTATCAATGTTGATATCATTTGGTTTAAAATATGTTATTTTTTGATGCAGTCAAGCTGTGGCGAAAACTCGAGCTGATACTGATACTCAAGTGGAGGTGGGGCTTGAGTTCAATCAAACTGCTTCACCTGCAGAAATCCCACAGGATGATGATGTTGCAAAAACCTTAGAAGAGGCTTTCTCCAACCCAAACATTACCTTCAACATCACTGTTGATGTCACCTCCATCCGAGTAATTCGTAAGTAATCAATATCCTTCATTTAGCAAGGACATTTTGTTATCTAAGATTTGTCTAACATTGTCTGTTCAATACTTAGTATCAATATATCTAACTGCAAATAACAATAGCCAAGTTTCATTTTTGTGCTCCAAATAAGGGGTTTAAATTTAGCAAATTTGTACAATACAAAGCCAATATCTTTATTTGTTTATTTGTAAACCATACAGCATGAACCGAAACAACACACCACAGCATTAGGCCACGGCAACATGCAATGCCAGTCTCTAGAGGGACCTGGAATTAAACCAGACAACCATGACATGAACAAAACTGTACAAAACACAATTTAGGTACATTTAAACACAAAACTCAGAGCTCAACAAGAAACAAACAAAGACAAAACAAACGAAACAAATACAATAAAACAAAAAGCACTAACTCATGACCAAATCCTCTTAAAAACATTTCTGTTTCAGTTTTATATGAAGCCAGTCAGCATCCAGTTTGACTTCTGTAGATTGAAAATTACGCATGTTGAATCCGAGAACAGAAATTGCTTTGTGTTTGAATAAGAATGTACATAACTTCCATTGAATATTGAAGTAATTATGGAATAATTTCAAAGATTCTTATTTGACAAATGTTTTGGTCGAAATGGAGCATACACAATCATATACCATCGACTGTTACAAACATAAGAAACACAATTTAAAGTTATTTTTCTTTCTTGTCTGAAAATGCAGTTATCACTGTTGGCACTGTCAGCAATGTTTCTGCTGTTAGCACCTATAGTTACTAGCTGCTGGCCCAGCCATCGCAAAAGTGAGAATAGTTGAAGGCAATCCATCAGTCAGACATAAGCTTTGAATTTTGTGTTGAGAACCTTTACACTGTGGATTGACTTTGTTTAGAAGAAAGCATTTTGAATACCATCTTTTATTTTACCATATTTCTTCACATTGGTCCATATTTGTTTGGACTATAGGCCCGACAGCTATCCCAACTTCTGCAAATATAGCTACAAATGCTGCAAGTACAAGGGCTGCTACAACTACCAGTGCTGCAAACTACAACTACAAGTACTGCAACTACAAGGGCTGCTACAACTACAACTACAACTTCCAGTGCTGCAACTACAACTACAAGTTACTGCAACTACAAGGGCTGCTACAACTACAACTACAACTACCAGTGCTGCAACCACAACTACAAGGGCTGCTACACTAAAACCACAACCACGACGACTCCTATAACTACGACAGCTACTACAATTGCTGAAGCAGGTCATAATAAGGCAGTTGACTTTCCGATCTGCTGGAGAAACATTCACAACTGATTTGCAGAATAGATTCATCTGCAGCGTTTAAAGCACGAGCCTCACTAATAGAGACAACAGTAAGTCGATAGGGTGAAGCCGAGCGAAATCTAAGCATCCTAATTAACTGGAAATGTTTTACTAAATGTATTAGTATTTCCTGCAATAAGCCATCTTTTAATTTGTAGATTAAATCTCCTCTAAACAAACACATTTGGTGACATAGTCAAATTACTATATCCTGTGTTATGAGATAAAATGTATCTTAAAACTTAAATAATAATGATAAGTTTCAGATATATTTAACATTGAAGTGTTGGTGCTTCTTATACTGGATAGAAGATGCTGGATTGTTCATTGTTTTATGATTGGATGGTGTTTGTTGGTGCAAATTAAAAACCACAATTACAAAAGTCAATGGCAAATAAATAAATGTACATCATTTATTTGCTTGTTTTTTGCAGCTTAACCCTATTTACCAACGACAATTTTCTTCGTTCCGCTCCTTGACGGTGATTTTGTTCAGGTAATTTATTAATGTTATTCAAATGTACTGCAATCTAAATATATTGTACTGTGAATTCATGAAAATAATATTTTTAACATAATTGTAATAATTATAATTTATTTATAATGATTAAGAATATACATTTCTCTTCAATTCTATTTGCAGTAATGGATCAATCTTCAACACCATGAATCTTAAATTTGCATCCACATCAGTTCCTAGTGGCAGTCAGATTGGAAACATTTTGGCTGATGCAGCTTCAAGCATCACAGCCTTCAACATTGAACCTGCCTCCATTTTTTTGGATGGCGCACGTAAGTTATTTGAAATACTACCTTACCAAAAAAACACAACCTAAAAGAGATACTTCAAGTAATATATTTTGTTTTTCTTTTGTCATCATTTACAGAAGTTTCAAATGGAGTAAGCCACAAGATGAGTCTCATCACTGCATCCTTCCTTGTGCTGCTGTCATGGCTACTGTCAAGCTTTCAATAGTGCAGGGCTCATGTCTGTTAAGTGAAATACAATTACAGAAAGCCTTACATAACTGTATTGTATATCAGACGCATCACATATAACAACATTTTAACTTATTGTGCAGATATAATTTACAGATATAACATTAAAATTGAACACAGTGCCTTGTATTATTATCCAGTAACTTTTCTTATTTCTATCTTTTTATATTATCATACATAAGTTATGTGTATTCTGTGAGCTTACCTGTATTTTTGTAAAAAACAAGGTCTTCTTGATGATCGGAACACAAAAGATATGTTATGTTTTTAGCATCCGAAGATAAAAACAAGGTGTATCTCAATAAGTTGAAAATGCTTCCATTAAAGGCACTGAAGATAAGTACAAACAATCAAACACTGTCTTATTGTTTCTAAAAACCTTTTCTTCCAATCTGTTATTCTCAATATGGTTATATATAAGTTATTCAGGATTTTCCAGAAATAAAATGGCTGCATGTCGATTCACAATGGCCCTGGTTTAAATGAATAAAGAAATAGTCTCAGCTGTCAGCTTGTTGTGTGCATTAACTAAAGTGACAATCATTTTGGAAAGACAAGTTGTTTATGTGCAGGCAGAAATGTCAAATGAATCGATAAACTAACTGACAGGGAATGGATCATTGCTTTAATGTATTATTATTATTAACCATATTTTTTTATATATATAAATATCCATATTTATTTGGGATATATATTATATTTTTATAATCTAAAATGGTGGGCCACAGTCATTTTACCAAACTTCTCTGTGATGTCAATAAAGTATTTTTATTTATGATAATGGATTATATTTGTTAAAGGAAACACTTCATCATAATCACTAGCTTACAATATAAATCACTTATCTATTTATTTTCTTAGGGATAATCAGATGATGACTTTGTTGGATAATTTTTTAGGTGTCATTGAAGCTACAGATACACAACAGGTGTAAGTATTCAGACAAGTCTTAGATACCACTGCCAAACAGGTTGGCTAAAATTGGATTAAATGCTCACAATGCTTCTTTCTATGTTGCTGATTGAAAAGGACAACACATAGTCTAATTGCCTTTGTATTCTAGTACTCAAGAGGACAGCAAAAGAATCACAGGAGGATTGTGACCAAACACACTCAAATTCAATCATTGCTGGTTTTGTTCTTTTGGACTGTAAAGTATTTTCCAAATATAAGACTATATCCAACTAGTCCTTTGTCAAATTACATTTATTGGGCTACATTTACATTTATTTTGATATGATTTATTAATTTGACTTAACCAACTGGCACACTTAAACTAACTATAATCTGCAGTAGTGGATTGTGAAAGCGTCATGCAGCAGCAGACCAAAAAAGGGAGTATACAATGACAGTGTTAAGAGATGATTAATAGATGTCTTTCTGACTTCACATTGTTGTTGGGCCATATAGATGCAGAAATATCTCAATAAGGTGTCATATTGTAATTATTGTCTTTTATTGTGATTGTAGTAATGTGTTTTATTACATGTACAGCACTTTGGCTCGACCAAAAATCGCTTTTAAATGTGCTTTATAAATAAAACTTGATTTGATTTGATATCTGATTCATGTCATTACTCAAAAAGCCCTCCATTAAGGTGATAATAGACAAGGAGTGCCTACATTAAGTTAAGTGTAAATACTTAGCTTAATTAAGTAAATACTAAATACACTCCTGTGCAAAATGCCTGCAAATCCACAATAAAGTTATTGGGAACTGTAGTTCAGTAACATTGTCTAACTTAAAAGACTCTTATGCTACAGTAAGAGTCAGAGGATCATCAGCATGTCAGCAGGCTTCCAAATTTGATTGTTACCAAAATAGTTGTTCGGTTATTTGAGTTTGGATCAAAAGGATTGGACCGACTGACAGTACAATATTGACATCCTTATAAGATTGTGACTTCTTAAAACAATACTTATATTCCTTTATTAATTTACTGTAACTTTTTTCTCATATATGATATTGGTATTGTTAAAAGCTTACTCAGTATTTTAATACATTCAAGCTTTTAGAAGGGAAGCATATACAGGTATTTGTTTAACCAGGGTAATAGACATACATTTTTATCCTGTATAGCTCCAAGTGGTCTGGGTGTAAACTGATGATGCTTGTAATCATCCTAATAATTCCCATGGTCATTTAAGCTCTATTTTACATGAACCGTACCTTTTTTATTGATGTATGTACTTAGCATATTGTAATGTTTGTATGCCTTTACACAATGGAAGCAGAAAGTCATGTTAATACATTGAGACACAAGTGACATTTCTGTATCTTAAAACTTGATGTAGATATAGCCTGTGACATAATGTCAAACAGACTTGATAGCCATATTATTAAGGGGGGCTTTAGAGTGTGTACACATGAGCATAAATCCTAATTCAGTCCAAGTTATATGTAAGTATACACAACACAATGTTTCTCTCCAATACGTTTCCAAACCATTTTGAATAACATTTGCTGCGCATGCTTGGTTTTTCAATAATTTACTAACAAAAGTATGTAGCTACGGAAAAAATGTAGGTAAAGACAAAATTAATGAGCACTACTTTAATGATTTTTTGAACAGATGTAAGAATACTTTTTCCCAAGAAACTTCAGAAGAAATATATTTTTGTAAGCCCTTCATCATTGATCTTATTGTAAAACTGGCACCAGGGTTTTTCATCAAAAAAGGAAACGTTTTACTTTTAGTTTCGGCACCACTGATACATATTAACATAATATTTATATATCTATTTTTACAGCAAGTCCAGTCCCAGCTACAACTCCCCACACCTACAACTGCTAACCTAAAACAGCAGGAACCTACAACTGCTAAACCTAAAACGGCAGCACCTACTACTATAGCCCTTATAACAAAAGGGTGACTTTCAGATCTGTCCTAGACACATTTACCAATGACTTGATGAATCCATCTGCTGCTTATAAAGCTCGGGCTACAATGATAAAGGATCAGGTACGTCTTTTTTAGTCCACCCACTCAAAACATGTGAATTCTACTCCACAGTTACCACACTATGATTAGGAATTATTAATTGATGAAAGACCAACAAAGATCAAGTCAAATAAATAAGTAAAAAGCTCTAAATCCAATGCAAAGGTTTATGTGAAAAAATATATGTTTTAGTTTTGTGTTTCTACAGCTTACACTGTTTTCAAAAGGGTATTCCCTTCGTCCTTCAAATCACAGATGTTGTTTCATTCAGGTAATTTTTTAAGACTATTAAAGTGTTATAATAAAGAGTAGGATCCTAAATCTGATATTTCAAACAATATTTGTTTTCTCTTTCTGCAGTAACGGATCAATCATCAACGTCATTGATGTTTTGTTGGTAAGCACATCTGCTCCTAATAGCACTCAGATTGCGAACACTTTGATCAACGCAGCTTCAACAGTCGTTGGATTCGACATTGAAGGCAGCTCCATTGGCGTAAATGGCATATGTAAGTAAATATATAAATGTTGATTTAATGTTTTGTTTATTTTTTTTCTCATTTACAGCTTCCAGTGGGAGTAAGACACAAGATCAGTCTTGTCACCGCATCCTGCCTCTGTCTGTTGTCAATGGATACTATCAAACCAGCAATAGCATTAGGGCTGTTTTTACAATTTTAATTTTAATCACAACATGACTTCCATCACTGGAATGATTTTTTTTAAATGTATGGTGAAATACTCTGTTGGTTCAAAAGGATTCATGATGTCTTCAGTCTTGTTCAGCTTCAGATGAACTTGATATAAAATGTGACTTTGAGTAACGCGTCCATTCAATCATCATTAGACCAATAAGGCCAGACATGTAACATTACCCCAGGAATGTAAAAAGAATTGCACTAATAATGTACAAATTAATCTTGCTTCACTGATCAGTTTGCTATAAGAATTTTAATTTTTTATAGTAACTAATGCTATCTTATTTAAGTTTAGAAAACATTTCATAGATTAAAATGAAGAAACACATCACTCAATCGTCTAATCCATTTAAATGTATAAATGATGTATAATAATGTATAAATACAGCCTAATATCACAAATCAGCTTCAGGGGGCTTTACAAATCTTTACAGCCTATATGAAACCCTCTGTTCGTAGAACCCTACAGAAAATAACTAACCCAAACTCAACAAATAAACGAAGGACAAATAGAAGAAACCTCAGGAAAAGGCTATGGAGGGATCCCTCTCCAAGAACAGAAAAAAAACAACCCTAAACCAATGCAGAGCTTTATAATCATTGTACACAAATACATGTCTAAACAATTCAATGTCAATCTTTTTATTTATGAAATATATTTTTGTAAAATGTCTTGTTTTGTATATATTCTGTCCGAAGATTTACAGAATACAAAATCTCTAAAAGAAGTGTATTTGTCTTTTGTGTGTTATTTATCGATTTTCATAGGTAGTGTATAAGTGTATGTTATCAGGTTTAATGTCAGGACCCATAAAGCACCAGTGATGTTTAGGAACAATCAATGTGATTTTCTATGATTACATTTCACAAAAGCACCTTACAATATGCCTTCTCAGCCTTTGTAGTGCCAGTGAATCAGAACCTGTTAAGCCCGTTGCCCCCGCCGGCCGGCAACATCTTGCAAGAAACAGCGTCTGAGGGCTTCTTAACATTTAACAAACTATGAACGTGTTAACGGGAAGAAACTCAAGAGAGTACTAGTAGTGCATAGTTCATTTTGAATATTAAATTAGTATTTATTAAAACACTTTCCAGACAGACATTTTTTGAAATACATCATTCCTTGAGTAACTTATTATAGCCCATAGTCAGAGTAACCACCAGCATCAACCATTGTCAGAGTACATTTTCGGTAATGCCTTTGTTTAAAAAAATATATCATTTTATTGGCAGTTATCTTGCCAAAGATTTAAAGCATTTACCCAATTTTTGCAAAGCTCTCCACTTAAAATCATCTCAGAGGCTTGAACAGACTTTATGGGAGCAAAGAACAACTCTAATAAAACCACAACTTCAGACTGACTAGCACATGAAGCTGAATCCAGGCCAGCAGCACACAGTAAGCAACAGCACCACATCAGAAACTACAAACATGGCTAACAGGCAGTAAACAGTAGCGTCACACAGAGAGAAGGGGGTGTGCATTTCATACTCACCCTGTCTGTTGAGTGTCACATATGCATGCAATGCATACAGAGTTAAGGCTGTTACGACAGTGTTGCGACATGCTTTACGGCATGGGAAGGACTGCTTTACTACAGAGTAAGCCCGCCAGTTGTTATGTTTCTGCCTACTGTAATGTCTTGACTTACTGCTGAATAAACCTGAGTCATAAAAGATACTCGACCCTCGAACATTCTACATGGTGTCAGAAGTGACCGGTGAGTCACAGGAAATAAATAAAACAAAGTCAAGAAATATAGACGGCGGAATGGCCAAGTTTAATCCCCCAGCGAAACATTTCTTTGATAAGCCGACTGAATGGCCAGAATGGAGGCAACGCTTTGAGCGGTACAGACTCGCTACTA